TAATGCCTCCCTACGAGGGTTACGATCCAGAGGTGGATCCCAGCATCGCTAACGTCTTTGCAGCCGCTGCGTTTCGTTTTGCCCACGTGACTGTGCAGCCAGTGGTTAATAGGCTGGGTCCAGGATACACCGCTAACTCCCAGCATCCCCCGCTGCCTCTGCATCATTCATTGTTCGCCTCTTGGAGGGTGGTGCAGGAAGGTAATGAACGATGGTGTCAGCACTAAACTCAGATGACAATGCAGTTTACTCATGTTTTCTGCCTCTCTCTGTCTCCTGGCGTGTCAGGCGGCATTGACCCTGTGCTGCGCGGTTTGTTGCTGTCTCCGGCCAAGCTGCAGACTCCAGGTCAGATGATGGTGGAGGAACTGACCGAGAGGCTGTTTCAGGCACAGGGAGGTATGCCTCTGGACCTCGGGGCCCTTAACCTCCAGAGGGGCCGGGATCACGGCCTGCCAGGTACCAGCTTTCTTACTTCTGGCACAGAACAGTGTTACTGTATCACTTTATACTGAAAGTCTGCTGCTGACTGTCAACATTTGTTTTAACAGATTGTATTTGTGTAAAAGGAACAGTTTTAATGGTGAGGTTTTGATTGGCAGTGACATTTCCTGTTGACGATTTATACAACTTAATTTGTCCCTCTGGAGCTAAATGACTGCAGCCATCGTTCATATAATGAGTTACATGTGTGTCTGTTGATTCACGAGCCAGTACCAGATGTGGGAATGTGTGATAATTAGCCATCTGTCCAGATGCTCAGTAGTGTAGTAGTAGTTGTCTGAATAAACATGTCATGTCATGAGACAAAAGTAGTTAATTGATTTAGTCAACAGTAGAGCAGCGATGTGTGGAAATAAAGGCTTAACCAAAACACAAATGTATCCTTAAAAAGGATCAGAATTGTTTTGCCACCCAGATCCTGATGAACCTTGTCATGTGAAGGCCCTGCGCACACACCCACACAGATGTTTTCAGTTATTCCGGCTGACTGGATCTCAGGTTTGAAACTGGGTGGAGCTCTGCTGGGAATTATGTGAAGTCATCAAACCCAGTGTAGCAACAAGAATAGGTGCGCTTCAACACCCAACTGGCACAGAGCCGCATTGAGCTGGTTGGGCGTGGCACATGCCGCTTACAAACACCTGCAATGACACAAAATACTACATGTACCAACAGCAGACCGATGAACGCAGCGCATGGCTGGCAACAGTAGACAGGTCGCACACTCTGTACCTGCCCACACAGTCCTGAGAAGAAGAATCAGGCAAAATAAGCACCTTGGGTCTGTTGCCCCATTTTTTATTTCATTGATGTGTTTTATCTCACTTTGATATTTAGTCAAGGTGGTCTTTGGTTCAGTTATTCAAACCTTGTGTTTAATGAGTTGTTTTTTTTTTAACTCTTAACGTGCCGTCTGTCCCGTCTCACCCATCAGGATACGGCTCGTGGAGAAGGTTCTGCAGCCTCTCCGTTCCCAACACTACATCAGATCTGGCTGAAATTCTGAGTAACTTAACTTTGGCTAACAAATTCCAGCTCCTGTACGGGACCCCGCACAACATCGATGTGTGGGTGGGGGCCATCTCTGAGCCCGCTGTGCCTGGAGGGCGAGTCGGGCCGCTCCTGTCCTGCCTGCTGGCGAGACAGTTCAGAGCACTGAGAGATGGGGACAGGTAAAGACCAAATCCTGATGTTAAATAATGATCATTAAGATAAAAGAAGGTAAGTCTACGTCTGTCTTTGTCTCATAAGGTTTTGGTGGGAGAGGGAAGGAATGTTCACCAGCACCCAGAGGAGAAACCTCCACAGCATCTCTCTGTCCCGCATCATATGTGACAACAGCCACATTACTCACGTCCCCACTGACCCGTTCTCACGCACCGAGAGACCGGAGGACATGCTGGCCTGTTCACACCCGCTCATCTCCCACCTCGACCTCAGCCCGTGGAAAGAACCAGACGCAGGTGAGGAGGCAGGAAAAGAAGACTGTGAGATATCAGGTTCGTGTGTTGTGTTGTAATGTCTGGATCTCTCTTCCAGATCCCACTTGTGGTCCAATACCCAGGATTCAGTCCGGCTACTCGATGCTCTGCAACTCTGTGGTTCTGTATCAGTGTCACTCTGGCTTCAAGCTGCTGGGATCTTCATCTGTCAGCTGTGATCCAAACAGCCAGCAGTGGAGCCCCACACCCCCAACGTGTGACGGTACGAGGCCTAAACCAGGGCCTGGAGACATGACTAGTCCTTCTAAAGAAGTATAGTGTATCGCAACATCACAATATGGCTTATGTGTACAAAATCACAAAACAAACTCACCAAAACTCTTCTTCCCAACAAGGTACATTAGCTGTTCTGGAGTGTTCGAGTGCATCACATGATATGTATTGTAGACGTTCAAACTTAAGTTTCATGGCACCACACTGGCGATCCTTGAACACAATATCTCAGGAACGCCTTAAGAGAACTTATTAGAAATTGGCCCAAACGTCCACTTGGATTCAAGCATGACCTGATTAAAAGTTGGTGGTCAAAGGTCACTGTGACCTCACAAAACACCTTTTTGGCCACAATTAATTGGACAATAAATTGGTGACACTTTTGACTCAAAGGTCACTGTGACCTCAAAATTACCTTGACAGACTCGTTAAACTAATTATAATATTTTAAGTAAAACTTCCCCCATGGTGACAATAAAGAAAATATCTATTTCAAATAGTTCGTGAAGAATGTAAAAATGACACCTGGGAAAACTCCCGTCTGCTGAGGAAGATCATGTGGTGCAATCAAAAGCTCCAGAAGAGCTACTAAATATAAACCTTGAGATGAAATTGCTGTCAACTATTCCATCATTGGTTTAGACAACACTTGATATCATCATGTATCATAATGCTAAAATATCTTCATATGATGATTTCAGTGATGATCAATAACTGAACATTAGATACAAAATGTCTGATTGATTTCTGTTGTTTTTGACTGATTGTTGCAGATATCAATGAATGTGAAGAACAATTTTCTCTCTGCCCACAAAACCTGGAGTGCCTCAACACACCGGGTTCCTTTATTTGTTCAGGTTGGTTTTATAATTGTGAAGCATTTTGTAACTTTTGTTTTGAAAAGGACCAAATTGTATTGCTGAGATATTTAAACTTGTACAACATATATGAATCTTTCACTTCTGATGCAGAACCCTCCTCGCTGTCTGCTGTCTCTGTTGTCACTGCGGTGATAGTAGTGATCGGAGGTGTGGCCGGGCTGCTGACCATAATGTTTTGTTATCGAAGGTGAGTCACTGTAGGTAATCAGTTTAATGGACACAACCTGGGTCCATATTAAGTCATTTTATTCAGCACTACAGGACTGTTGACTAGAGCGACAGCAAATGTTACGCCTATAACTTCTGATCTCTGAAGGAGAGAAACAAGGTCCAATACATAGTATGGGGTAAGGATATCTCTATTCACGCCTGTAGGCAGATGTTTATAAGTGCTCCTACACATACAAACATCCATTATCACATCCGTCATCCTTCAGCTCGATCGCCGCTCTTCACCAAGCGCAGCTGAACAGTGGAACAACACTATCTCGTTCCTCTCCTTCAGGAAATAGAAGTTACAATCATAACATTTCATTTATTATGTTGGTTCTCTCGGTACAACACATTTAGTATGTGTTCATGCCCTGTAGAGCAGCCACCGACCCAGAGTCCAACCTCCAGCAGTGGTACAGACAAAAGTTGTAGAGCTGTAGGCTGCAGGGATAACCTTTGGTGTTTTTTGACCGTTAACAGTGAGAAGGATTTATCATTCATCCTCCGATAAACCATGTAAGTCCAAACTGATGTCCGGCACGTCATCATCATCATCATTACGTGTGTACCATATGTATCCTATATGTGTTGTACCGAGTGAATCGACTGAAAGGGAACAGACGTAATAATTATTAAAGAGGTGCATATTTAGTAAATTGATAATTAAAATAAATAATTTATTTATCCCAGAAACATAATGAAACATAATAGTTTTAAAGTGAAATATAATTAAACTATCTGTTTTGCAGATATTTTCCCAAGAAAGAAGAGTTGGTCAATGCTGGATGTTGCCAGAGGAAAAACTAAAAAGAGTTTGGTCAGCTTTGTTCTAATGATATTATATATATATATGACCATTATTTTACTGTCTTCAGTATTTTGGCACCGACCTGTTTTTAACAGTCTATTAGTAGAATATTTTGTCTTGTTAATTTATAATAGCCATACGACAGATGAACAAATCAATGTTGTACATTAAAAATCATCCCTGTTGTCGAGCAGGTGAACTCGTATGATGGCATGTTTTGTCCTCTGACTAAGCGTTATGTCACTAACCGGTCTTACTGTACTCACTCATTAACGAAGAGTCAAACTGTTTACTAAGGCCTATTATTAACGTGGTAATCTGTGTGATGAGGCCATGGAAACACAATAACAAGTGTACAAAAGTCTTTTCAATCCGGAAACTAAACTCTTACTGGTCTGTTCCAAAAACAGATTTTCATACGATAAAGCCCCTCTGAGCGGGATATGGTCTCAGTATCCCCGTTCCTGTTCACAAACCTGTTAGGAAACTCTGTGTGTGTGTGTGTGTGTGTGTGTGTGTGTGTGTGTGTGTGTGTGTGTGTGTGTGTGTGTGTGTGTGTGTGTGTGTGTGTGTGTGTGTGTGTGTGTGTGTGTGTGTGTGTGTGTGTGTGTGTGCGCGTGTTTGTTTGTGTTTTCTATCGGGGGAACCAGGCGGTTCCAGGCAGTGACCTTAATCTAAAGCCAAATCAGTGGCGTGCCCTGACTGAAATACGTTTCTGTGTCTGGTTGTAAAACAATTACAATGACGACTCATCATTCCCAAACTTCAGTCTAAACTTTACAAAAGGCCACAAAAGACCCGACATCAAAGTCAAACCAGCTAATCCATTTTATCAGATTCTGTTCAAACAAGATCTGTAAATCACACACAGTACAAAGGTTCTGCAATCAGGCTACAATGCCTCGTCTTTAATGGAGTGTTTACACTGGAAGACACCGTTGATTATCAGTACACTGAGGCTGGGAACCTCAAAGCCCTAATGATGGCTAATAAGCAGTTATTGCACTTTCTGACACAATATTCTTCATTTTGTTTTTTTACCTTCAAGAGACCGCTTTCTGTAAAACTTGGCCATTAATAATAATAAATCTATACTATGAGGTACAACCAATATACATTGCACAATATGGCTATGTACTGCATTCATGCATAGTCATTTATGGCTTTTACTGTATGTACATACTGTTCATTGCAAACGTGCAAACCTACAGTTGCAACAGTTGTGCATATTGCAATCACTTGTATTAAAGCTTGTTCATTTTCTGACTATATTGTAAAACTATGTTGATGTGTTATAACTAATTTATTACCAATATATCTGATTATTAAGTACAGGCCAGGCTAACATGTAGCTGTTTGTTACATTTCATTTATGTTTTTTATATGAGGCACCTACAACAGGTAGAGCAACAGTATTAAGGCCATGCTGAGACAAGAAGTCCTGGCTGTGTTGTTTCAGCCAATAACTCAAAGCAACTAAGAAACACTGTTTAGCATTATATTAATGTAAAAATAAAGAAAACAACCAAAATAACTGTTGGGTGAAACTAGAGGACTATTGTCAATCTCACATTAGACTACATTACAGTTGAATGTGTAATACTTGAGGTAAGAGACCAACTAAACTCTCAAAACTGCTTTCATCCTGCATTGCGCTCGTCTTTTCAACAGACCAACGCTTGAAAACTGATACATACAATCTATCGTATTAACGTGAGAGGTTGCATGTACTCCACCCGGGAGGTTCAGAAACAATTCTCCTCACCAGTGGAGAGAAATACTGGAGGCCTGCAGTATAACAGAAAAATATATTTTACACATCTCGCTCTTTGAAATTATTAGTTATTTTACTCCTATCTAGCTGTGCTGGTTTAAATCTTTGCCCTATTGCATAAAAGTGGCACATGAACAGTTGTTGCTTCCCTTGTTGATTGACCTCTGCTGCAGCACTAATGCTGTACAACCTCTGCTACAAAAACTGATCCAAGGTTTGTTACCACAGTTTAACCCTGATTACGACCTTGAATAATCCAGGTCCCGGGATCATGTTGTCCTGGTGTTTCAGTGGGCTGTCCTCTAGCCCTCGTCAGTGAGGTAGAAACCTAACTTTGCCACAGTCATCTCTCTGCGGAGACGCATCACCTCCCAGAACATCTGCTCCGCTGGACAAAGAGACGACAACAGATACGTCAGTTCAATAAAACTCTTGTTGGTGAAGCAGAAAAAACATTTCAATGTGTCCGTGTTAACTTACCATCGTGTCTCACCAGGCCCTGCTGGATGTAACGAATATAAGTAAAAAAATTGCAAACAGCCGTGATCTAGAGAGGTTAAATAAGGACACGGTCACATGTAGCAACAGTTCGCAGCAGTAACAGCAGTGTATCTAATGAAGGTTACAGATATACAGTCATAGGTACCCGTGCTCGGCTGGAAGGAGAGATGTAATAGTAGCTCCCTTTGTCACCCAGTTTAATGCGATGTCTGCAGAGGCGTGACATGCCACTTAATGCGCATTTTCTACAGGGAAAGATCAGCTGTCAGACAATTACAGCTACAAGACGTGGATAGTTATTGTCTTCGTCACAGCAAACATTATCAGTGAAACCTACATACTTTGAATAAAGGCTAAATAAGTGAGAACACAAAAGAGTGGTGCACAAGTGGAGAAAGTTAGTCACTGGAAGAGGAAAAGGTTTCATTAATATACACCCACACACATGCAGATCATTAATTTACACATTTGTTTACACATTTTCAGACATCAGGACAGGCAGACTTCATTTCATGCTACAGTAATTTGTGTTAGTGAAAAGCTGAACAGGTGATTGTTTCCTGAGGGGACTTACGTCTCTATTGCTGCCCTAAAGCCACTGGAAGAAAAAGATTTTTTAAATCAGACAGTGATTAGAAATGTGCCCGTTGATTAAAACCCCTCTCAGATACGTGGTAAAGACAGAGAAAACCTTCAGCTATGACCATTAATTAGAGAATACAAAACCAAAGAGTGGATTTTCAGTGTTGACTTAGCCATTGTTTAGCAGTGAATGGTGAAAGAAAGGACAGGATAATGGTTCATATGTAGATGTGACAACTCACTTAGGGCCGCCACACTCTATAGCTGAGGCTTTAACCATCGGCAGCGCTGACATGGCCACAGGCTCCACAGTCAAAGAGTTGTTTTCCACGGCACTCTGCACCAGCTGCGACAGCTGTGGAGAACAATCAATAATGTTAACTTCAAACACTGAACTATAACACATGCAGGGGTGTAGTGAGATTTTGACCTCAGATCTCGTGAAGGAGAGGCAGGGTCCGATGTCTTCTCTGTAGATGCGACTCAGGAAGGCAGAGGAGCGCTCGAGACTCGGATTTTCCTTCCACATCAAAAACTCTGCATAGAGAACGGAGTCCATCTGCAAGAAGAAAACGATCCATCACAAACTATTTGACCGCCCCTAATGTGTCAATATCTACACCCCCTGATTCTTCTTAATCCTGTTATATTACAGAAGCTTGCATGTGACGAGATAAAATCACACAGTGAGACAGGTAAACTGGCTGATAAGAAGACAGATCCAATAGTTATTTGCTTTTTAGCTTGATATTGAGGGGTTTTAACTACCTGTAACAGCTGAAAACTCTTGTGACAGGACAGCCAGAGCACCTTTTATTACTGGTATTGATCAATAAACCTATAATTATCATCTGACAAAATGTTAGCTATTTTGAAATATCTGCCCTCACCACTCGTTGCATACGTTGAAAACAAAAACACAACTTTAAAACATGCAGTTATAGAACAAAAAGCGTTCTATAGTCATGCTATGAGCTCTCTGAGGCTTTACTTACGACTGGAGCTAAATGCTAACATCAGCATCCTCACAACAACAATGCAAACATACTAACATTCACCAGCTTTAATGTTTACCATGTGCACTGTCCTATGTTACCATGCAAACATTTGCTAATTAGCAATAAAAACAAAATACAGCTGAGGCTGATGGGAATTAGTCTTTCAGGTATTAAAATGATAAGACCCTCAAACTGCACACCGTCGTTCTGTTATCGTCCTTTATTAACTCAGAGGAATAACTTTCTCATTGTCCCATTAAAGCACACACTTATAGAGCACAGATCCATCTGCCAGCAGCTAAATCTGAAAGACTTATCAGGCCTGGTTGAAAGGATGCAGTTACCTGTCTGCCGTCAGTGCCTTGCCCCTGCTCCTGCCAGTAAGGGTCAAAGGTCACACTGACAGACTGGCCAGGGACCAGACAGAGTATCAGAGAGAGGAGAGCAGGAACAGCAGGCTGAGAGAGGAAGAGACACCAGGGACAGAGAGCAAGATCAACAAGTCAGGGAGAGGTTAGTGCTGAGAGAAAAGAAGAAGCAAAGAGAACTTGACTCAAGGCAAGAGATTCGAGTGACAGGAAACAGGAATAAAGGGTTGCGGAAACATACTTTAAGAAGAAGAGAGGCAAGTGTATAAACTTCATCCAGTTTACCTCTCTGTCCTCTTTGGCCACAGGCTGAACAGACACTGAGGAGGGTTCTGGTTTTCCAAGCGAGGATGGAAAGGCACCGCTCGCACTCTTGTTGCGGATGTGGCCCCCGACATGTTTGTATGCTCCTCTGGTTCCTGAAGACTGCAGCTGTGGATGCAACTGCCGGTTTGGTGAAGAAGGTGTTGATGTCAACACCAGAGCCTTGAGCGCCGTCACCTCCGCTTGTAGAACGTCAATCTGGGAGCCCGACACAGAAAGGAAAAAGAGAGTGTGATGAGTCTGATGTCTGATGATCGGCGGGAAATCAATAACTTTGACAAAATGCTATTTTTATCTGTTTATAGTTCAAATCAACAATTTTAAATAGAGGCCCATTTTAAAGACAAATCAGTGCAATTCAAAAATAGTTCAGGTGCTATGAAGGGTCATTACAATCATCCACTGAAACACAGAGGAACAACTTCACACACACACCTTTCCCTGAGCCTCCTTCAGTTGTTTCTCTGCTGCTGCTTGTTTGACGTTAGCTTCATGCACCATCTTGTGAGCTTCCTGTCGTCATAAAGATTGAAACAATAGCACAAGGTTAAAACACTCTGAAGTATCCGCTGTCAATCCAAACTGTGGATCAGAGGTTGTTCCTGATTATTCAATAACAGTGAAAGGTGAATCTGGGACAACAAAACAAGCTGTAAACATGTGAAAAATGTCACTCTATGAAGTTGTTATGGTGAATGTTAGCAACAAATGAACTATTTATATATCCAGCAGACAGAGCAACATTCACTCAATTTAATTAGTCTCTACCAATTAATGAGGGAATTAAAAATTAACTCTTAAGCTGCTAAATGCTCCACTTCCATGTTTACCAGCTAGTTGCTAACTGTGCTTGTTTGGTGCTGGACAGGTAGCAGGTTTATCAGAACTTTAAGGTTGGAGAGAACCACAGAGCTTGTGGGCCAAACAGAACTAATCAATCTGCTGATTAATCAGTTAGCTTACTTATAGATTAGTATTAGGATCGATTAATCGTTGTTCAAAGCTAATTCAGTCATTTTTTCATATCCTACAAGACATCTTCCTCCTCCTTTATGTTGACACACACCCCTATCTATCTACATCAGTTGAGCTTTGGTGGAACAGGTGAACAGTTTTATGTTCTTGAGAATCAACATCACAGAGAACCTGTTACTTACGTCTCCACCTGGGTTTAGAAAGCTCAGAAACGACTGTATTTCTGAAGGAAACTTTAAAAAGCAAAAGTCATGTGTCAAGTTCCTGTTAACTTTTACAGAGGAGTGATTGAAAGCATCCTGAATGGCAACATAAACAGATACAGGATATGTACAGCCCAGGACAAGAGGACGCTGCAGCGAGTGATTAAAACCGCCCACATATATATTTATATGGTTTTTTATCTCCTCTTCTTCCTCTATCGTTTTCTTTTTGTGTGACTTTTCTTGGGTTCTGCCGCAAACTTGCCAAGCAAGCAGAAGTCAACTATGAAAGCAGAGTGATGCCAGTCAGAGTGGGTATTGCTCTCCAATGCTCACTAAGCAGAAAGTCTCTCGCCCATAGTGGCTGCTTTGTGGCCATCGCCCCACATGGAGGCATAAAATAGCACGACTGCAGCTCTGGGGCCAGAAAACCAAAACAATGAGCTACAAAAGGGCTAAAACTCTCAGTAGAGCTAAAGAATATTCAAGCTGACGGTTGTCCAGTGAACCCTCACCTCAAAACATCTGTGGTTTCCCTATAGTAAAGTTAAACTTGCAGTGATGAATCACATCACCGTCCTCATCATCAGGGTTTAAGATAAGTGTCTAAATCACAGTGCACTCAGCAGAGAGCGATCATTACTGCTAACCTCAAACAGACTGGCAGTCAGCTCCTCCAGCTCCTGCTCCAGCTGATTCCTGACCTGCGACAGACGCTCGCACTCCTTGTCCTTTAGTTTCAGTTCCTGAGATGCGTAAGAGAAAATGTCACAACCACATTTTTCGAGGAAGAACATTTGCATTGTCGACTTTTTTTCTCTTCAGGTCACACAAAGCTTTGCGTGTGTCAGCATAAAGTAGGTTACAACACCTTCTTTGCAGCGTCCAGCTGTTCCCTAAGGATCTCTGACCCCTTTTCTCTGATTTCTTTTTCTTTGATCTCCAGCGATGAGCTACGGAGCCGGGAGAGGTCGCCATGGCCCCTGCCAGAGGGGGGCCCAGCCTGGCCTCCTCCCTCCACTCTGGACTCTGGCTCTGGATCCAGATCTACCAACCTTCACACAAGCAGAAATACAATCAGTGTTGTTAGTGAGGGGACATCAATATTTTATGTCCACTGGGCTGCTATAAAGACAGTTTAGGATATGGGTATTATTTAATGATAATGATTAACCCACAGTTTGCCTGTCCTGACTTGTTTGCTTCAAGTTCTACGTACAGAACGTCGTCATGTGTTTTGATTGTAATGGCTGCAGATATAAACTAGATTTAAAATAACTCTGGTACATTAAACTGCAATAAAACCATTTTAATTTAATTTTAATTTATTTTCATGCTGAGGATTCACAAATGGATACACAGCAAGTGAACCTTATGAGGAGCATGAAACCACTATTTAATCATAATCCAATATTAATATACGTATATGTAAGTTGTTTATTAGACCGACCTAGAACTAAAACTTATACATCATACCATCATTAGGATTATTGTTCTCTAGAGACATTTGTGTATCATCATTTTAGACAGCAATCATTTAGACAGATGACCTTTTTAGACTGTAATCCATTACAGTTACATACAAAAAGACAGAAAAAAAGGTTTTATTTATTACTCATTACTCTTTTCAGAAGTAATATTACTTTACTTATTACTCCCTGCCAACAGTAATTAGTAACACTACTATTTATATTACTTTTCTGCTGCTCTGCACAAAACTGGTAATTGTGTCCTTTCTCCCCAAAAGTCAGACTTTTGTTCAAATCAAAATGTTTATTAAAATCAAAGTAATAATTAATATTTTAAGTCATCTTCCAATCCAAGGTGTGTTTGGATCTTTTGATTTCGAATCAATAGGAGGTGACAACACAAGTAATGTTGTAACCAGTGTTGGCCAGTGACTCAATACTATCAATAATATTACAGCAAAAATATTACTTTCCCTAGTAACCATTAGTGTAACTAATTACTAATATATTTCAGTAATAATATTAAAGTTATCCCCCTTAGATACATTTTTGTAATCATGGAGGAAACTCGGTTTTAAAATAAAACCACTTATATTCAGTGGCTGGAAATATTCACATTACTTTAATTTTAACAAACAAAACTAGATTTTAATCGTCATAAGTCTCAAATTTGGGGAGAAGGGACACAATTACCAATTTTATAGGAAAAGTAACAGAACTAATAGTGTAACTAATTACTTTTGGCAAGGAGTAATAAGTAATAACATTAATTTTGAAAAGATCAATGAGTAATTAACATTTTTTAATAGTAACTAGCCCCTAACACTGGTTGTAACTAATTAATTTTAACTGTACAATTATTACTGCAGTGTAATTAATTACACTAACTAGTTACTGGGTAAAGTAATTACATTACTAGTAAGTTAACGAGTTACTGCCCAACACTAACAGTGTTAACTGACCTCTGGAGGACCGCGGACCACAGTTTTAAAACCCTCTGCTACTATATTATATATTATATATTATATATTTAATTGTCATTCAGTGTTTTCACTTCAAGCTTTAAAGCAGCGAACAACTTTTAGCCACAACCAGCTAACAGATAGCAACCAGTTAGCTAACGTTACAACTTTTTTGTTTAATACGAGGAGGTCTCCCCTCAGTGTCCGCCCTTACCCTGTCAGTGCCCAGGACCGCAGATAGACCTCCCGCCCTGTCTGAGTATCTCTCCTCTCCTGTGTCCTTCAGCTGCTGTTGTTGTTGTTGTTGTTGTTGTTGTTGTTGTTTGTAAAGTAACAAATACAGTACACACTGGGCTAACGTTAGCTGCTTCCAGCCGTTTTAAATCACAGCGGAGGAATGCGGACGCTGACGTAGCCAACCGACAGCAGCCGTTAACAGCAACAGTCACAGCCGTTTGACGTTAACGCTGCGGACCACGAACCATCAGCTTTAAAGTGTAACGACGACCTGGTTGTGTACTTTTTCCAGCGGTAATCTTTCCCTGTGTGTCCCCTCGCCGACGTGCTCCTGATTTCCAGGCGAGAAAAAACGAGTGTGTGTGTGTGTCTGCCTCTTTCTCTCACGGGTCACATGACAGCGCATCCACTCCCAACGCCCCACTGTCCGGAGCCAGCAGCACACCTCCACAGGCAGGACACCACCAGGAGTGTATCCGATTACTTCACTACTGCAGTGTGTATCTGAATACTTTACTACTGCAGTGTGTATCTGAATACTTTACTACTGCAGTGTGTATCTGAATACTTTACTACTGCAGTGTGTATCTGAATACTTTACTACTGCAGTATGTATCTGAATCTTTACTACTGCGTATGTATCCGTTTCACTACTGCAAGTACTTTTATGTGTATCTGAATACTTCACTACTGCAGTGTGTATCTGAATACTTTACTACTGCAGTATGTATCCGATTACTTCACTACTGCAGTGTGTATCTGATTACTTCACTACTGCAGTGTGTATCTGAATACTTCACTACTGCAGTGTGTATCTGAATACTTCACTACTGCAGTATGTATCTGATTACTTCACTACTGCAGTATGTATCCGATTACTTCACTACTGCAGTATGTATCTGAATACTTCACTACTGTAACATGAATCCGATTACTTTACTACTGCAGTATGTATCTGAATACTTTACTACTGCAGTATGTATCCGATTACTTCACTACTGCAGTATGTATCTGAATACTTTACTACTGCAGTATGTATCCGATTACTTCACTACTGCAGTATGTATCTGATTACTTCACTACTGTAGTACGAATCTGAATATTTCACTACTGTAGCCTGTATCCGATTACTTCACTACTGTAGCATGTATCTGAAAACTTTAATGTCATTCCTTCCTCTTTCTTCTGTCTACTGATCTCAAACTACCAGACTGGGTTATCTCCATCCCTCCATCCCTACGGCACAATGTCATAAATATTGTTCTAGTTGTTTTATATCAATTTAAACTATCCCTTTGTATACTATGACAATAAAAATGCAATTCTATGTTTTTTAAATGTATTTAGTTTGGTGCAAAATAATGGCAAAGGTCAAAGGTGTCTTCACATGTGTGCAAACGGTTGATAAGAAGCAGATTTTATTTGTTGTTTGGCTGCCAACAACAATAATAATATTGTGTCTGTTGTTAGATAATTGTGCAGAATGAATTGGTGGTACCAATATGGTAGAGAAAAATAAAGTCATTATTTTAATTATTTTAAAGAAATTCCTTAATAGTAACTAACACTAAACTTTGATAAAAGCCTTAAAAATCATCCTTTTAGCCACACAGGTGAGAGCTTTCTTGCCACTTACCGTCCAACAACACAGCCTTCCTCCTCAGTTTTCCTGCTGGACTTGTGTCTGGCTCCCAGGACGTCAGGTGTGCCGAAAAAGACCGCGGATGAATATACTGCTATTCCAGATCTCCCTGCTTTGAGGACTTCATATCCTGGGCTAGTTGCTGTTGAAGACGGCGGAGAAGATGAAATCCGGACGCTGTGAATTCCCTCAAAAGCATCCATATCTCTTCTCTCAGGCAGGGCAGACACTCATCACAAACTATGTCTTTTAATGCTTTTAGTGATCTATAATGATCCTGATGGGTGTCAAGCACCTAAAATGCAGAAAAGCAAACCTTAGATACTGCAACTTAATGATATGTAGCCACAGTGCAGACAGCAGAGTTAGACAGGGGAGAGGGTTAGGTGAGGTTATGTGAACAGATTAGGAGAGCACATATACTTTTATTTTGAAATAAATTAATACAATACAAATCATCTTGGATTTACAGTCCAAGAGATTATAAGTAGAGCATTAGTTGTCGTTCTATTTACATTTACATGTTTTTGGAAGCTTTTATTCGCTGCTACTGGAAAATGCATAATGATTGATAGGTTTATAAGAAACTGACCAAACCAGAACGAAGTGGAGGAGCAGCCACTAATCACAGACTTCAAAAGTTTCTTAAATATCACAATTGCACTTAAAAACATTCTGGTGGACTCACCTGGACCCCTCCAATGTCTTTATCATGGTTACTCCTTTGTTAAAATCACATGAAAACTAAACAAACCCTCACATTTAAAGTCTTTAAGTAGCCAGTGGACGAGCGTGTGTGTTAAAAAAATTTGTTTAAACTATTAACTTTCACACTTGTTCCCTCTCTGAATACTGCAGAGAAGTCTGACACTTTTCTCTGCAGGCTGTCATACTAAAGGAATTTGTTTCTTTCAGATATCCAGTGTAAACACAACTTCAGCTTAAGTTAAGAAACAGTATCATGCATCACACACATGGCAGACATACACACACCTACAATGAAAACAATACACAGAATAAACTCACCAAAGTGTTTAAAACTGATCCCCAGCTGTTGCCTGTGCATCAAAAATCTGCAAAAAAAAAAAGAGCTGAAATTGTGCTTCGATAATCTGAAGCTTGAGAGTTCAGCAGGTTGTCTGCACTTCGCCCTGCTGTGGGTCTCCTGGTTAGACAGGAAGGGTTAATCACTAACACCTTCTGGGCTGGAGCCCAGCTGTACACATTTCTTCCAGCAGAGGGCGGTGACACACAGTCTCACCTGATCAGGAGTTTTCCATGAGCAAACACTGACTGATGCTTCAAATGGAAAATACTCAAATTCTGCCTTGTGAAGTTTACTGAATATCAGAGATGAGAATATGTTCAAAGGTGTGTTTGTGGTTCAGCAAAATACAGAGAAATGTGTTAAACTTTGAAGAAAATTAATGCTGGTTTCACAGAGTCATGTTTCCAAAACTCTAAACACAACAACTCAGCTCGCTCACGCCTTTAACCAACCTATTTGTGGCAGTGTGGGTGCTTCAGATTAACAGGACCCGGCCTCACAATGCAGCTTTGTTACTGAAACAGATTAACACATCAAGTGACCGGAGGTGTAGGAGTCCCCTTGCTCTCTTTTTCTTTCCCTGCTTCCCTTTCTTCAACATTCTCCACCACACATCTCGAGCCACGGCGGTGTAAGATGGCCAGGCGTTTTCACATTGTGTGGTAAGTAACTGCAACTTCACAGCCTTTGTGTTTCAGTCAGTAAAACTGACCTTTTGGGCCCCTCACATGTATGTATCAGCCTGTTGGAGCACTGCAGATGTAGAGGTGTGTTTCTATTTTAAATGATTGTATAAGTGTGTAGGATCAACTAACTGCTGTTCTGTCTTACTTTATCATTTCAGATATATGTGACCAAATTGGCCTTATGAGATCCACATTGGTCGCTGACGCCGAGTTCAGACGAAGCACGGAGAACAACAACACCACCACACTGGTTTCCTTCATGTCACGTCACAGTCAACCAGCAAGTTGGCCAGCAAGCAGCAGCAATGACAGTAACATACTCTCGCAGGGTTGCTGATGCGGGTCTGGGGACCTTCTTTAATCTGCTTCTGCGATGGAAGGGCAGCATCTATAAACTGCTCTACAGAGAGCTCATCATCTTCACTCTGCTCTACTACTTCTTCAGTATTGTTTACAGGTACTCTCTTAACACTGAAACTCTGTTAGTAATCGTCCTCCAGTCGGTGGAGAGAGGGATATTTAAGGGTTGTCTGATAAAGATATTTATTTAGGATATTATTGAAGACTAAGAAGGACGTATAGTTGAAAAACAAACGTCTCAGTGCTCTCTGGTGGAGAAATTATGTAATAGAGACACTGTCTCTAAGTGATCTCAAACATTTCTTTGGCATTTAAACAGATACTGAATATCTTTGATAAGCAAGTATCAGCTGGGCCCCGATCAATTTATCAGCTCTATTGGTGAGATTATTTGTTTTTGCTCAACAAATGTAGGAAGATTTAGAGTTGGACTCTGGGGGCCACAGGAGGTCTTAGAGGGACCTTACATACTTTATTGACCTTTCCTTTTCTCTCCTAGAAGTCTTCCAATCTCAAGATAACTCTAAAAACAAACTCTCCATCACTGTTTCAATACACCAAGCGCTGTTACCTATACACAAGATAAAGTAAAATTTACTTAAGGTGAATTCTTGAATGGGGGCCATTACAGTATGTATGGGTCCTTCACACTTCTTCTGACATTTATGAACACAGGTTTAGTTAGTTATCTTCGTACAGCATCATATTGCTGCCACTATGACAGAAGAAACATTGTCTCATTATAACAAGAACATCATTTTAATAATATTCTTCACGCTATAATAAGATATTTTTCATATTAAAGTAACTTTTATCAATATTTCAAGATATCAAATTATTCTGTGTTATTAATTATTTTCCCATTTTAACAACATATGGAAGTTTGTTGTTATAACAGCTGTATGTTATTGGGGGCTGACACTGGGTGCCTGGGGGGCCTCAGAAAATGTGAAAAAATGTGTCACAAAATTGAAAACATTTTTTTTTTTTTTACATGTGCTGCACTATTGTCAGTGGGTTTTTAAGGACTTTTTGCCAAAAGGAAACGTTTGGGAACCCCTGTGTTATAACAAGAAAATGATCTTGTTTTGATGAGATAAGTTGAGCAATCAGGGTTTCTTGTTATAGAGATATAAGCTGATTTTGTGTAATAACAGGAAAAGTTTAGTGATACATTTTCATGTAAAAACTGAATAAATTGGTATATTGTAAAAATATATATATATATAATATAATAACATGAAAAATATCTCAAACGCGAAACATTAAAAGCATCTTGTTATAACAAGAAACTCTTCATGTTATAACTGAATATATATATAATATTTTTAGTCACAGTGGGGTCAATATGCTGCCATATCTTCTAAAGTAAAGGTTAAACATTAAACCAGTGTGGAGCAGGTTGTGTTTTAGTTTTAATGGCCTCAATAGATGTTTCCTTCACTAGGTTTGTGTTAAATGATGACCAGAAGAGGCTGTTTGAGAAGCTGTCATTATACTGTGACCGCTATGCAGAGCTCATCCCTGTGTCGTTTGTGCTGGGTGAGTGGAGACAGATTATTATAGATTTACATACCTCTAAATCTCAATCTTAGACCATGTTCCTGGAAAACATCACAAGAAATTGGCATCTAATTCTTCATTTGTTCTTTTGTTGTTGTTGCCAGGTTTCTATGTCACCTTGGTCGTGTCCCGTTGGTGGGGCCAGTTTGAGAACTTCCCCTGGCCGGACCGCCTGGCAGCATTAGTGGGTGGTCACGTCCGTGGAGCTGACGATCCCTCCAGGCTGACCCGGCGAACTCTGATGCGATACGCCAACCTCTCTGGTGTGCTCATCTACCGCTCTGTCAGCACTGCCGTCTACAAGAGGTTTCCCACCATGGAGCATCTGGTGCAGGCAGGTACGATGCTGCCAGTCTCATCACATACAGCACAGTCACATCCAAAGCTGCTGGCTCTGTTTGTGCACTTTGTAAAAGTCCTGAAGAAACTGTGAAATAGTTGTTTTGGACCAGCAAGTTCAGGCGCAACAAACATTTTAAATTAGTGGTTGCTGACCTGGGGGTCACCAAAGCTTCACAGGGGGTCGCGAGGCCTTCTTGATTTTAAGGGGTGTAAGAAAACTAATGTTCAAAGTAGGCCTTTATCTCAGCATTTCGTTCATTTCTGTGAAAAAAAAAATTAAATTAATTAAATTGTTATTTTTAAAGTTTTGATATCATTTAAGATCTCACTATGCTAAACAGCCTCATCCTTCATTAGAAAAGGACGCAGTTAAAACAACCAAAGAGCTAATCGAACAATGATAAGGAAACAATTAATTTGTCAAAAAGGAGACCTATTAGGTTTTATTGTTAAAAATAAAAAATAAACATAATACAGACAGAGAATTGTATAAAAAGTACCCTAAAAAATCAGGAAAACTCATCTCTGATGCAATATTTATCAATCCGCTCAAAATTCATAGCTCGTTTTACCCAGACATACTGTGTTCACTATTTGGGTGAATTGTACCATTATAATGATTATTGTCATTGTTATGTATTATATATAACATGAAATGTCCATAAAATATATCACTCAGTCAGGGGTTGTCAGTTTACTCACTGATGGTCTTTAATGCTTCCTCTCTTTGTATCATTTTGGCTGCTTTCACTTCTGTGTTATCTCTCAGGTTTGATGACGTCGGAGGAGCTGAGGCGCCTTGAGGACTTGCCCTCTCCTCACAACAAGTTCTGGGTTCCCTGCATGTGGTTCGTCAGCCTGGCTCTGAGGGCTCGAACCGAGGGTCGCATCAACAACGACGTGGCACTCACGGCCATTCTCACTGTAGGTCTTCATGTGTTATCTAAGAGCCTGAATATCTGCGCTTTCTGTGGCAATTTTAGTTCTAAAATGTTTGTTTTTTAATTGGTTTTGACTGTCCTGCTTTTCTTCTCTGTTCAGGAGTTGAATAGTTTACGGGCAAAGTGTATGAAGCTGTACGGTTATGACTGGATCAGCCTGCCTCTTGTCTATACTCAGGTTTTGTTGATACACTGTGCTGGAGTGATGCTTTGGCAGTAGAACAAATTTAATAGCTTCATTAAGTTATCAATGTGCAATGATTAGGTGTCAAATAAAATAAATGAAACTGCTGATGAGAGCTGAGCTAACGTCGATAAATAATGTGATTTTGTGTGTTACACTAATCATCATGTACTTTAAACAATTAACTCAAAATCAGACCAAGCAAATAAATGTTTTTTTATCGTAGAGGAAATTGTGAAACACTTTCCAGACTTGACTAATCTTTCTTAATTAGGTGGTGACAGTGGCGGTCTACAGCTTCTTCCTGGCTTGTCTGATCGGTCGTCAGTTCTTGGATCCAGCTCAGGGTTACCCAGGTCACGATCTGGACTTCTACCTGCCTGTTTTCACCCTGTTGCAGTTTTTCTTCTATGTTGGTTGGCTGAAGGTGAGGAACCGCAGATTAAAGGTCCAGTGTGTAACATTAAGGAAGTTGCCTTCATGTGTTCATGTTTTTTTGCATGTTTCACAGCCACTGTAGTTTCTCCTTCGTGCTTCGAAGGGGAGGGTGAAGCGACGGTGTTGCGATCTGAAACTACATACTAGACACCACGAAATCCTTCACTCTGGACCTTTAATTTCATGATCAAGTCGCACTGATGCTGCTCAAGAAATGTTATCAATTGGTCCATTTCTGAGCTGTAACGGTGGTGGTCTTTTCTGTTCATGGTCTCAGGTTGCTGAACAACTCATAAATCCTTTTGGTGAAGATGATGACGACTTTGAAACCAACTGGCTTGTTGATCGCAACTTACAGGTTTGGATTCATAACCAAACTATTTGCCACTTTTTCATCAACCGCAGAGGCTGTGTTGTTTCTACTTCCTGTGGTTTCTGTTGTCTCCCAGGTGTCCTTGTTGTCTGTGGATGAGATGTACGACAACCTGCCGCTGGTTGAGAGGGATATGTACTGGAATGAGTCTGAACCTCAACCTCCCTACACTACTGCCAGCGCCGAACATCGCAAACCCTCCTTCATGGGCTCAGCTC